GTTATTGGTTATTGATTATTGGTTATTGATTATTGGTTATTGATTGTTGATTGATTGTTGATTATTGGTTATTGGTTATTGATTGTTGATTGATTGTTGATTATTGGTTATTGATTATTGATTATTGATTGAGTCAGTCTGTATGTAGGAGATTTCCCAGCTGATCCAGAGTTTGGGCTGCTCTCACACTTCCTGTTGGAAGTGATGCTTCCTTCCTGTTTCACTGCCACACTGGGGTCATGTGACCTCATCACTTCCTGCTTGTGAATACAGGAAGTTTTGAATCAGCTGTCCAGTTCTGACCTGGTCTTATCTGTGTCCCCAGAGTGAGATCGTGAGGGACGAGTCGTCCTCAGGCTTGCTGGACTGTATCCGTGAGGGTCTGACCCGGCTACTGGGGGTTGGCGCTCCCCACAGCCGCCGCCTGCTTCCTCTTAGCTGCCTGCTCCTTCCTGCTGCTCTGCACGCCATTCTGCGTTACGCCATCTCCACCTCCGTCCAGCAGGTGGCGCTGTGGGCGCACCAGCGGGGAAAGAAGCGACACTCGGACCCCTCCAACCCACTGGATGCCCACTTCCCTGAGCTGGCTGCCAGGTGGGCGGGGTCTTTGGTGGCAGACGTGGTGCTGTTTCCTCTGGAGACGGTGCTGCACCGCCTCAGCATCCAGGGGACTCGCACCATCGTTGATGCCACAGACGGCGTGGTGGCCGCAGGAAACGGCGGCAGCCCGCTGGTTCTGCCCGTCAACACGCAGTACGACGGCTTCTACGACTGTCTGCACTCCATCCGCCGAAAAGAGGGCGGGGCCGGCTTCTACCGCGGCTTCGGAGTTCTGCTGATGCAGTACACTGTCCACGGGGCGCTGCTCGCCGCCGCCAGGACGCTGCTCAGGGTGCTGCTGCTGGACGCCAAGGTCGCTTAAAGTCTTCCTGTGGAGGCCAGGCCGAGGACGGCTGCTGCACTGACGACTGACTCACCTGAGAGCAGGACTGACTGTTTTTACCTGTCATTGGTCAGATGTGTCAACAAACACATGCCAACAAACGTGTCAATAAAACATGTAAACAACAGGTTTTGTGTATAAAAATGTAAAAATAAAAGTAGTTTGTGAAACAGTGGATGTAGAATAAATTATGTGACTCATTAATTAAACAGAAACAAACTTAATGAAGTTTTTCCTGACAAATGATTTGAAATAAATAACTTATCAACAGTTTTTGTTTTTGTGTCCTGATCATTTCATGCAGCTCATATTCAAACTAAATCTAATGTAAATAAAGAAAAAAACTGAATTTAGATTTCAGTAAAACACAACCGTAAGAAGAAAGTAAATCCATCGAGCTACAGGACAAATCTAACATGACAAAAATCACTGCAAAATCTAAAGGACAAAAACGAGGGCTTTTATTTTGAAATGTAAGATCAGATGTTGCTGGAACTTGGTGAGTGAACAGTTTGGTCGCATTGTTGACATCAATGTAGGCTTTGTTAAATTTATTGGTTTGGTTTTGTTTTTTAAGGATTTACGACATGGAAGCTTTTATTTTGAAATTGACCCGCAGGTCTTACTGTGTACGCGCGACTGGAGGCTGCCGGTAAATACAGGCGGAACCTTCGGTGTTTCCGGCTCTGTTTCCAGTCGGAATTATTTCCTCTGCGCTCCTCCATGTGAAGCAGAGCAGCGCGGAGCTCCGGGTGTCTCTCTGTTTGTGAGTCCGTTTGTCGGTGCAGTGACCGGTAAACATGCCGGGAGGCGGCAGCTGTCTGTTCTCCGGGTTCCGGGTTCTGGGTCTCTACTCGAACCACGTCCCGCACGCGCTCCGGTACCACCTGAAGCATCGGGAGTTCTACGTGGTGACGTCAGTGGGAAGAAGCTTCCACACGTTTAACGTAAGAAAGATCCTGATCCGGTTTAAAGATCCTGATCCGGTTTAATGATCCTGATCTGGTTTAAAGATCCTGATCCGGTTTAATGATCCTGATCTGGTTTAATGATCCTGATCCGGTTTAATGATCCTGATCCGGTTTAATGATCCTGATCCGGTTTAAAGATCCTGATCCGGTTTAATGATCCTGATCCGGTTTAAAGATCCTGATCCGGTTTAATGATCCTGATCTGGTTTAATGTTCCTGATCCGGTTTAAAGATCCTGATCCGGTTTAAAGA